AGTAGATATACAGCGTGATCATTGATTCACGATTAATAAATAAACCATGCTGGGCAGTCGTAGTTTACGCAATTATTTGAAAAGTAGATTTCCGCGGTAGAAATGCTCAGTTTCAAGGAACAAGAGAGACAGATGTCCTTTCCTTTAACCGAACAGAATTTAAATATTATATGTCTTTGAAATCTATTTTGAGAGATCTAAAACACAGAACTGCGAAAAAATAACAACACTAAAGTCTTAAGCAGTTAATATGGTGGTTACTTGGGAATAAAATAGTTGATAACCTTAGATATCTCCTAGCTCTCTCACTGGGAACAGTAGCAAGAAAATAAGCTTGCACTTTATGGTTATAGTTCAAGATGCCCCGTCAATACGCCAGCGCAAAGTTTAAAAATTTGTTAAAAAAATTTAAAATCCGGAAGAGCGGATCTAGACTTTTCATGAAAGTTTCCTTGAAAATCTGGATTTTTCTTCTAAAGATATGAAGAGGAGAAATGTAAACCCAAAACCAGTTTTTAAACTATTAAGTTTTGTGCAGGATTGCTTGATATTTCATTGTTCTCTGACGAGAAACGCTAGCATATCCATTGCTTACCTGATACATTTAGATGGTGTACTTGTAAGCATTTCTCTGTTTCCGTATCATTATGTGTATATGAGAACAGGGCCACGACTTTATACTTGCCACTATCATTGACAGCGACATTGAAAATTTCTATCATCAAAAGGCTTTGGTTCACCTTCTTAAATTCGGCCTTCCCCTGCAAACAAATCTCCTTTACTGGATGAGTACAAGCGCCATCTAATCCAGTTTTGTTTAGGAATGCAAATACGGACGAATGTGCGTATGCACGATAGCCACGAAAATGTTGGTCATCTTCATGATTTGATCTGTTGTAAAAAAGTTTTGCGTCCACTCCAGAATCGGCTGTAACTATAACTGCAGAATCAGTACAGGCATCTCCTGCAGTTGCCAGCGGAGCTGCAAAATTTGAATTTAAAAGGAACTGATTTTAAAAGTATCCTTCAGAATTTTTTTAGAGCATAATCTGATTTATTCATGCAAACCCTGGGTAACTTTCCACGTTAGTGTAGTATTCATACTCTTCCAGCTATACGTTCACACGATTAACGGAACTCTCATTTTGATCATAGTAGCTATTTTGATTCTACAAAGATCTGTAACAAAGGGATGAGGAAAACTACTACAAACGATTTCCCATCTTCACTCACAAATATATTCAATGAAGTTTACTGGTGTTTATTCATATTGATATCTCAATAGGTTTCTTCAGTTGTGTGTCTTGTTTACAAGAAAAGCAGGAAGACTTTGGACGGCTAAGACGCAAAAAAGAAATTGTCGTTAATATATGCATAATTTTCATTGAAAATATTTCGTGGAGAAGGACCTCACTTTTTTTCCTCCCAAACTCTTCTTTAAATGCTCTTCAATCATTTTAAGTGCACTATAACGTTTTAGAAATACATTCAGATGTTTGTATTTTTTCAGCAGGATGGGAAATCGCTTTGGCGTAGGACATTACATAAAATGGGCATTGTCAAAGACGATGCTTTCGTTTTTCATCTCTGAAGCATCATTATTTTGGGATGTTTCTTTTAAGGTTTCAGTTTTTTTCGGATCGGTTCCATGTCCAGACAGCCATATACAGATTCCACGATTCCTAATTTTCCAACCGTCCAAAAATAGACATTTTCTGAGAATCTGAACCTCATTAATTCGTCTGCAGTTGTTTACGATGGCACTTTCTTGGAACTCATGCATACGAAATTAAAAGCATTGACTGTCTTCTGAAGCCAGAATTTGTTTTGGTGCCTACAGGGAACTTCGAAAACATTTCGATCGCCCTTTTACGGTGTACTACGGTAGCAACTTTCGGACGAAAATATAAAACAACAATAGAAGGGGTGTTTGTATCCGCGTTTTGCGACATTCGTTTTCGGCTTTCTTTGCTTATTTCCATTTAATTTACTTATTTACTTTGTTAGTAAACCAACGTCGTACTCAAAGCGGAAGAAGCGCCATGTTGTTACTTT